AATGTCCACTGATGGATTGAGCTCGTGCATGGTCGTTGTCACGCTCTGGCGCCTGCCGCAAGAAAGCGAGTTCGGGTGCACATGCAGTGAGGCAAACCACCCTGTTGGAGATAGGTGAAGCACAATCTGCGCCTGAACCCACACACTCGCCCATCCATCACGCGCCCTCACCTGGCATCAAAGGCCTCAAGAAGATGTGCGTGCTTCTTGTTTGCGAGTAATTTGCCACCTGTGGTCAATGAGAAGCGTAGGAGTAGCAGACGGTTGCAGATGACAGCGGACATGTGTGTGTGTGTGTGTTTGTGTGTGCGTGTGTTTGGGACGGGGATTGGCAGTGCAGTGCGCGCACAGACAGACAAGCAGACAGACAGACAGACAGACAGACAGACAGACAGACACACACACACACACACACACACACACAGATAGACAGACAGACAAACAGACAGACACACAATCAAACAACGTACTGGTGATGCCAATGTGGATGCAGGTGCGCGTATGTAGAGCGGCAGCCGTGAGCAGGAGCTTGTGTCCGCTGTGCAAATGGTCAAAGGAACCGCCCATACAGCAGTGATCGAAGACACGCGCTTCCGCCTGCACGTCTCGCGTGGCAGCTGCAGTAACCTCTCTGTCCGCATCGTCGTGTTGATGTGCAACCCTCTCCAACATCGCTGCTGGCGCAACACCAACCGCCTTCCGCTCTTGATCCAGCGCGCGCACATCACCTGGACCACAGTGTGTTGGAGTGAGCAACGAAGAGGAAGAACAAGAGGTAGAGAAGCAGAGAGGGAGAGAGGTGAAGGAGCAGAGAGCGAGAGAGCAGCAGAGGGAATGCACGATACACACACACAGACACACACAGACACACACTGCTACACACACACACACACACACACACACACACACACACACATACATACACACATACATACACACACACACACACACACACACACACACACACACACACAGGTGCTTACTCGACGCTGGCTCGTTGTAGACCATGGACAGTGTCGGCGCAAGCAGCATCGCGCGTTTGCACAAGGGCACCTCATCCGCATCTGAGATTGGTACCACCAAGAGGTCATACACATACCTGCAAGGCATGTCGCATCACACATCACGGGAATGAGCACGGCAAGACAACCAACCCTGCGATCGCACGCTCAAAGAGTCAGACAGACACGACGACGACACACACACACACACACACACACACACACACACACACACACTCTCTCTCTCTCTCTCTCACACACACACACACACACACCTCTCTGCTGCCTGCAAGTTGGCGTCACAGCTGGAGTAGATGTGGCTGCAGATCTGCAGGACGTCATGGCGTGCGTGCAGCTGACCATCATCAAACAACAGGTACACGCGAAACGCGGCGTTCGCGTCACCACTACGTTCCAACTGCTTCTGCAAGTGCTGAGCGCACGTGTTCACTAGCGGCTGTCTCGCCTCTGCACTTGCCGCCAGCACACTCGCTGGCTCGGCAAGCCTCCACACCACCGCGACAATGCTCATTACTGTGTGGTGCGTGTGCGCCAATGTGTGTGTGTGTGTGTGTGTAATGAGTGATGGTGTGTGATGAGTGATGGATGTCCGTCTGTGGCTTTGTTTGTGTTTGCTCCGCCCCACGTTGCTGTCGTTCTTCGGTGTTCAGTTATGCGAGCCAGCCCAAGCCAGCGCGAGAGATCAAAACACAGCAGGTAACAGCGGCGGCATGTGATGCTCTGCATCAACAGAAGGTTTGGCAAGGAAGGCCAAGGGGGAGGAGAAGTTGAGGCAGAAAATGTGGAGGTGGAGTTGGAGATAGGGTTGGAGGAGATGAATATCCCATCACAGGGTGACAAGGCAGACACACACACACACACACACACACACACACACACACACACATTCACGTAGACACAGCCAAACATCTGCATCATTTGCTGCTGTCCTTCTTCAGCTTGACGAGGTCCATGAGGTTCACGCCACCAGACGCATTTTGGACGGTGCGGACGAGCGTCTCGTAGTGGACGTATCCGTCGACCGTCACATCGCACAGCGCAAGCATGTTCTTCACTTCCTTCTTCGACAGCTTCTCTCCTCGCTGCGTGAGCACCTGTGATTGTGCAAAACGTGCACGTGTGATGAGCAGCAGCAGAGGGCGTGTGTGTGTTTTGCGTGTGTGTGTGTTTGTGTTTTGTGCGTGTGCGCGTGTGTATGTGCTTGTGTGAACATCAGTTATCATGAGCGAGAAGCAAGCCGCAAGCGACCCGATGCCAGGTAAGCCGATGCATCCTGACACACACACACAAACCTTCTCCAGGTCAGAGGTCTTGACAAAGCCGGTGAGATCCTTGTCAAAGATGCGGAAGCTATTCACTGCAGTCATGACGAGTGCAACATCATATGAGCCATGTGCGTCAGCAACCACACACACACACACACACACACACACACACACACACACACACACACACACACACACACACACACACACGCACATGCAACCCGCTTCTTCTGTTCTTCCACTTCCTCCTCCAAGTCCTGCCTCCTCCTTGCATTCCCTCCCTCAACGCACAAACGTCGTCGACGGTGTCATGCTGCTCCGCGCGCAGGTCAATCTTGCGGGTCATAATCTCGAGAAACTCGTTGAACTGGATCTTGCCGTCCCCGTCTCGGTCCACTTCGCGAATGAGCTGCCGGACTGTGTCCTCTGTCGGTGATTGGCCAATGCTTCGAATCACATCCGCTAGCTCCGAGGCTTCAATGGACCCGTTCTTGTCTGCATCAAAGAACTCAAACAGCTCCTTCAGCGCCCGCAGGTCTTCCACCGACGTCGTCGATGTCATCTCGCTCCCGTGTTCAGTGTACGAGTGTACGTATCCTTTGTATTGAAGACACACAGAGAGAGCGAGTGTGTGTGTGTGTGTGTGTGTGTGTGTGTGTGTGTGTGTGTGTGTGTGTGTGTGTGTGAGTGTGTGTGTGTGTGTGTGTGTGAGTGTGTGTGTGTGTGATGAGGCGGTTGCGCTCACCAAGCAAGCAAGCGGTTGTTTGTTGTCTTGTTGCTGGTCGTCACGGCATCGAAATTTCGCGAATAATGCCACCATTCTTCCCAACTTCACACAACAGCCACAACACACAACACGCCTTCCCCTCACCCCTCCACAACATCATCAACACCAATCAATCTCTGGTGTGTGTGCGTGTGTGCGTGTGGCTGGCGCGGAATAGCAGAGAGCAACGGCCATGGCGCAGCAGCAGCCTTTGCTGCTGTTGTGGTCATGTGCTGTGGTCACGACAGCTTTCTTGCTGCTGTCGTTGACCGCCCATCACCGCTGCAACACACGCGCTCTGTTTCTTCCTTCTGGCGTGGTGGATGATGGCAGCATTTGCTCCCAAGGCATACCGGCAGATGCCTCGCCCCTCATACACCCCTCACCAAACTACACCCTCTCTTTACTGGACCCATCCACGAGCGTCCCCATCACTGGCGGTTTCCGTCCAAACACTGCCTACATTGGTAAGCGTTCGTGCACGTATGCCTGTGGTGTATGCATGTGCATGTGTATATGCATGTGCATGTGTGCGTGCATGTGTGCATGTGTGTATGCATGTGCATGCATGCGTGTGTATTATGAGTGTTTACATGTTCAAGTACAAGTGCATGTGCGCGTGAGCGCAAGTGCCTGCCTTCGCGCCCCGTTTCCTGACACACGTTCAATGCATGTCCTCCCTCCCCCCACCACACACACGCACACACAGCGTTGTTGGAAGCGAGTGCGTCTGGGAGCTTGTTTGAAGGGTTTGTTGTGCAGCCCACGAGCGACGGCAGCGGCAGGTTCACGAGAACCCTGTCTGGGAAAGCCCACCTGGTTCGCGTGTGCCCCAATGTGCCCTTTGCTGCCACACACGCGACACCGGCCCCTGTGCCGCAGGCCCGCTTCATCTGGCTCGCCCCGTCCATCGGCAACCTCGTCTCAACAAACTCAAGCGTTGAGCGCGAAGCTGCTATCCACGTCATTGTGCAGCCTGACCTCCAGGCCCCAGAGTACCACGTGTTCACCACACGCTACCGCCAGCTTTCGTCCAACGCAGAGCTGTCCCACATACGCGCGCCGCCCACCTGCACGCGTGTGCGCATGGGCACGTCGTTTCTTGTCGGCTGCAACGCTTCCACCCCCAGCAGCATATCGGTTGCTGCAGTCCCCGTGCATGCAGGCAGCAGTGTCCAGCTCACGCACAGCGCAGATGGAAGCGTGTACAATCCGCAGACAGACGCCCTATCCTTCATCACAGACAGCGTACAGCCAGGCGATGCTGCCACTGCTGGTGCTGGTGCTGCTGCTGGTGGCGACATGTTGGACGGGTCAGTGCTCCAGCCTGTGATTGCCGTCACCGCTCGTGTCGTTGCCGAGGATGGGCTCTCCACCAACACGTTCCACATCTTCATCGCACGCGCCCAACAGGACGATGGTGGGTGCGTGTGTGCGTGCATGTATTGATGTGTATGTGCTTATTCGTGTGTGTGTGTGTGTGTGTGTGTGTGTGTGTGTGTGCGCGACGTCACATCTCAGCCAAAGACGCACTTGTTGACAAGCGACCTCACTACCCCCCCCCCCCCACACGCACACACACGCACACACACGCACGCTTTTATACACACACACACACACACACACACTCATACTGGCACGCGTCTGTGCCCCTCCCTTTTATTTTGGTTTTCTTTTTTTTTT